AAAAGCCCAGCAAAGCCATGTTCTGCTTGCGCTCCTAAGTGTCAGTGTACAGCACAACTGTTATGTTATTATAGCATAGCTATTTGGAGTGTAAAATAATCTTTTGTTCTAATGTAACTAGCATTTCTGAACATTTTTAAGCCCTTGAGTTTAGTGTTGCTGAAGTGTACTGTAGTTGCATTTAAGCTTACTAAAATATTTTTTCCTTTTCTTAGTATGGTGGAGACATTACAAGAAGAATGAAGCTTTTAAAGCGGCAGGCCGAAGGGAAGAAGTTAATGAGGAAAATTGGCAACGTGGAAGTACCAAGAGATGCCTTTATTCGTGTCTTAAAGAGACAAAATGACAAATAGAGATCAGTAACATGGAGCTGATTATTCTGTTTTTTTTGTAGACAGTAGCATAATGAGCTAATGTACAATTTATTACTGTGAGAGAGAACATATTTGACTCTAAGTGGTGTAAATTGAATATATGTGGGAATATAAATTAAAAGGACTATGTACTTCAAATGTACAGATACTTGTAGATGACTATGAAATTAAAGTTATTTAATTTGACTTGACTGAATCTAAGTTTTCATTGGATATCATTGGTTTTAAATTTTTAACACAATTATGTTTTATTTTTGCATTGCAAGTCCTTATGGAAGAACAGGAACAATGTAGGAGAATTTATAGAAATAATTGCAAGGTATGTATAGACAAGCAGTGCTGGAGTTTTTTTTAAATAATTTTTGTGGCAACAGTTCACTTTTTTATCAAGCTACTTCCTGTTTTACTTTCTAAAGTTGCTGTTGTCAGGAAATCATGACGATGACAGGAAATCACATCAGGAAAAAGCAATCATGACATTTTTTCATGTACCACACTATTTATTTTAAACTTGTTAAAGTGCGTCAGTGTACCATTAACACAGCCTAACTATACTAATTGCCAAAGAAATTGTAAATTTTAACATTATAAAACACAAAATATTTAACTGCTCCACCAATTCAGGCCTTAAAATAATTCCTTTGGTGTGAAAGCTTGGCTAGAACATGTCTTGGTGTACTTGTTAATGTTGTTCACATACTGAAGTTTGTCAGCGAGTCCTCACTTGAAAGTTGTAGTGAAGTGTGCTTAACAGAAGCTCTTGCTTTTGGCAGTGTAAGCAAAGCAATCATAAACACAAGTTCATGACTACACTATACTGTGTTTACAACCGCATGTCCACCTCCAAAAGCTTTTAAGGTATTTTTTAGATCTTCAGGGGCTAATTTAGGGTGTCACAGATCTTCATTTCTTGTTACTAAATATATTTTAGAGAACAAATTGCTAGTAATGCCTATTGAAGTGCTCAACTGCAAGTTAAGGCTGCTCTTAAATTTAGGCTTGTAACTGCAATATGAGGTTGATTAATCATAAGCTAGTTCATTTATTTCTACCCAAGTAAAAGGGTGAATTGGGAAAATTCTTAGATGGAATTGAACTGGACACCTTCAGAGGTCCCTTTCAACCTATATTACTCTTGCGTCTACAGAAAGAGGAGGGAGGGAATTCTGATACTTTAGTGGTTTGGGTTTTTTGTTGTTTAGTTTTTTTTTTTTTTATTTGAAGCTGTTTCAGATCTACTGAAAAACCAAGGATCGGGATGTGAACAAGGTATCCTATTATTTCTAAAGGCAAATAAGCTGCTGCTACTACTACTGATCTTGAATAAAGGAAAGATGCTGTGAATAAAGGCTCTTTCACATTATTATTCCCCACCCAAGAAAGCTTTTTTTTTAGGAATGCTAGTTCAAGACAGCACTTAAGTACACAGGTATCTTGAATAAAGTACATATACAGCAATGTGTGCTGAGAGCAAAGGAACAAAAGCAAGATTTATTCTCCTCCCCCCCTACAACAGACCTAAGGGAGATAAAGCACTGGCTGGCTCCACACTGAGGAGCTAAAGGTAAGCTAGAGATTATCCAAGTAGTAAATCTTTCAGACAGTTGCCCAGCATGACACATCAAATATGTATTATTTAACTAAACGAAAGTTACATGCGTGGATAAAAGCTGCCTTGAGAATAAGACTAGAACTTTCTCTTTTAGCCTTTTTATAGCTGTCTGAAGCAGGAAAAAAAAATAAAAATTCTTAGTCTAATTCTAAGAGGACTTGTACATGATGTCAGTTTTGAGAACAAGGACTTTAAAAAAGGGGTTAGTACTGTTACAGTAAATGAAGTGTTATTTTTGACACAAAATAACCTGATTCTATCTGTTCACGTTTCAAAATATACTTTAAAATAGTACTGAAAAAAAAAAAATTAAATGCTAAAGTAGATGTGCCAGTCTAAATTACAATTTACTCCTTTACCCAAGAACCCATAACTTAGGACTTGCTGAATGCAAAAATGCCTGCTTTGCCATTTAGATTTTAACAACAAACTGCAGGTAATAGGTAAAACTTAATGTACCTTACAGATTTGACTTATTTTTAGTAGTTGACAAGTTTGAAAGGTACTGTCATTGAAGAACTGGTATTTCATAAGAAAGTAATGGGAAGTATCTTAAGGACTGAAATGATAAAAATGATGTCGGAGTATTAAAAAAAGTCATTAATTTACAGGGCCTGGAGTCTACATCCTGTAGAATTCCTAACTTCAAGCTTCAACAGAAACAAACTGTAGACCATTCATGAGAAGAGGCAGAAACAATCTTAGACCCACTGAGATAAGTACAGTACTTAAACTGGCCTGTGTTTCACAGAAGTTCCAGTAGTTATGAAGGGAGAAGAGATACTAATTCTGTGGTCGCACATGTCTTGAGAGAACACAAAAAAAGGCTTTAGTTGGCAAAGTTGCCAAGAGAGGCAGATGACTGAAAGGTGCCCTGGAAAAAAAAACAAAAATAAGGAGTTGCAAGGGAGAAAAGCTTTTATAAGTAGAGGGATATAAAAGCTATGGGTTTCTATTCACACTTGAACCTGAATTCTTTTGTTTCCTCAATAGAATTCCTAATTTCCCACAGGATGGATCATGATCATTAAGGTAAAAACATGCATGAATTCTTTTAAAAGTAACCTAAATTCAAGATTATTTTTAGTCTCACACTTTCATTATAAAAAGTGTTTATTTTATAAAATCTTTACTTAGCTGTAAAGACTAAGAATGGCAAGTGTAACAATGTAGTTTGTGGGTCATATGCTACCTTTAAGAGCAGTCTAAAGCACAGTCTTTTAAAGGTTACCTCCCCAGTGTTGCATTATGCTTCAAAAATGCAAGTGCAAAAGTCGAGTCTTAAAACCTGAAAGTCTGTTTTAAATCTGTGGTTGTTCCATCTACTGTTAACTGAAACCGTAGGCCTGGCTTCCTACACTGCTCTAAGCAGGCTGACCCACCCTTTTGTCATTTCACAAAACCATAAAATAGCCCAGGTTTGAAGGGACCTTCAATTGACCCTCTGGTCCAACCCTTTCTGGGAAAGGTGAGCCTAGGTGAGATGACCAAGCTGCACCGTGCAGCTGCATCTTCAAAAACCTCTAGCAGTGGGGACTCCAGCCCAGCCCCAGGGAGGTAACAGGGCTCATAATAAAGGCCACCTGCCTGTCACCAAGGTGAAACTGTTGAAGTTCTGCTTTGCTGCACTTTCTGCCAGTGAGTATTTTACATAAGGGCATGCTCCCTCACCCAAAGAAATACAATCCCAACCCTAAATCATTAAACTCTTAACTTCTCCCTTAGGTGGGAGAATGTACAAATTCCTAACCTCTCCATGAAACCCTGAAGTATTTATTCACATCAGAAGTTTTATTAGAAACAAAGCAATTTTGAAATTATAGATGATATATCAAGTTTTACTTATATTCAAAGTAGGAAATAACATTCCTTGTAAAAGCTCAATGATTATAATGATACAACAAGAGGTAACTATTGCAACATGATTAACAAGTGACTTTAAATGATCATGTATTGAACTTGCATACATTTTATTCCTGTAAATTAACATCTTTTCAGGCATTTAATTCTAATATCAATGGTACAATTAAACAGGTACCTCCAGGAAGGAATCTTTAGATTTTTTTTTTCCTATACGTATAAAGCTCAATTACCAAAAATATAAAAATCCTAAAGTAATTTGAAATATGTGAGAGAAAAAATGTGCTATGACAGAAATTTAATATTTTTATCTGTGGAGTAAGTTATAGCTTTCAAGAATTTGGTACATTTTTAGGCACTGTTTTTGTATTTTTATTTGCCTGAATTATACAGCAGGACTTGAGATGCCCAAAAACTGTTCAAGATAAATTTAAGGCAACCAAGTGCAAAAGCTCAGTGTACATTAGATACATGTAAACAGAACATTTCATAGTAGAAATTGTACAACTATTACAAGTCCATAGTGACAAAAGCCAAAACCATTCTGCCTTAGAGACACAAATGCAAAATGTAGTTACACTAATCAAGCCAAAAATTACAAATTCCTGCAGATAAAATCTCATCTTCTCTAACACAAGGCAGATGCATTACATTGCTGTGCTAGAATTAAGTGCTCTGCTCTTCTCCCCTGCACAACATGCAGCCTCCTCCCAAAGGTTTGATCCGTTTCATTTAGGGATGTATCAACCATCAACAGAGCTCCCAAATGTTAAAGCAAAATGCACAACACAGCAAACAGATGGAATGTGAATGTACAGATATTGGACCTTTTAAAAAATACAGTACCTAGGATTCCCCATTTTGAACAGTTTTCAGCATATTGCATAGCAGTGAACGCATCTGCTACCTAAAACTGTTGCTGTTGACCCACATGGAGTTCCTCTTCAATTCTTCTTTAGTTTTCTTTCATACTGTACAGTGGGTCCACAAGCTTATTGTGCACATGCATTAAACCTTGAGGGGAAAGCAACAATGCCAGCTTTACATTAGTTATACTTTTTCAGCATGTCCTTCTATCCACATTTTTATTTGGAGTTTGCTTCAAAGTATACATTTTAAAATAGATCACTGATGAGAATAACAATGACTAAAGTAGCTTAAAATCAGATATTAAAGACAGCACATATATTCCTGTATCACTTGAATACTGCAGGACACCTTCAGTACAAAGTGAGCAGGCATGAGACAATTCTCTGGTTAGACCCATCAAAAAGTACTTCCAAATTAATTGAATACATGAGATTCACCCACCTTTCTCTTGTACTGAAAACTGCACAACAGCAAAATTCCCTCATATCACTACTTATCATAAAATCAGATGTATGCATACTGATACTTCACAGCTTGAATGGCAATGGTCTAGCATTGTGGTATTACTGTCTTTGGATTTAGTAGTGTACCTGTGTTCCTAGACAGCCAAAACCAAAACTATCCAGACTAATAATGCAGATTTGAAACTTCAGTAGTTCCCAACTGTTTTCTATTCTAGCTGGGCTTTTTTTGTGTCATCTACAAGTCATCAATAGCTGTGATGAGGGGAGTATTTGTTTTTCCTGTTAAGATACTTTCGAAAGTGGTGAAGAACAATTAAAAAAAGGTGCTGCTTTCTTTACTTTGTTTGCTAAGTTAGGTAACAGTAAAAATGTTACTTAGATTTTCCTAGGTGGGACATTCAGTCACTGGTATGTTTTTAATCTTAGCTGACCTAGGTGCCCTGGAGCAATAACTGACCAGAATAACTGACCAGTGTTCACAATCTGCAAAGTGAAAGTCCATTTTAGTACCAAACAAAAGATGAACTTCTAAAATTACAAACTTAAGTAGTATGCAATATTAAAATTAGAGAAATTTTCTTAGAAACCATTGAAAAAGTCTAACAGTAATGCACATTTTAGTGAATATGTATGGCAAAGAATATTCAAATACCTGTAATACAAAATGCAGATGTTACTATTTCCTTCTCCACTTAGTGACACATTCAGCCACACTAAACAGCCAACACACCTAAAACTGACTCAGTAACCTGGCCCATTTTGTCCCTAGAGGTAATGACTTAGCTTCAGGTATTTGTGCAAAAGAAACCCAAACCTCAGAACTCAATCTAACTAAAGAAAACAGTTTCTTAGATTTCATGAAGGAAGACTACTGGTTTGATGTACATGGGAAAGATCAAGTCCAGTATTTTTCAGTTTAACAGTGAGAACATATTAAGTATACATTTGCTACAAAAGCCATTTGTACTGAAAGAGTAAAAGCTGCTCACAAGACTCAAATGAGAACCATGATTTCAACTTTAAAACATTTAATTTCCTACCAGTGTTTTTCTGATCTAAAAAAGGGAAATGAAAAGGGAGATAACTACCTACTTCCTAGAGGCATGAAAAATGCTTACCAAAGTATTGCCTCTGCTATATTTAATGAAGGCTATTTTAAATCCTGTTTATGAAATCCTGTTTTCAGGAAAACCAGTTAGAAACAAAAGGGTTTTTTTAAAGGTATGCACCAGAGTCCTTACTTGATAGATGCCAAAACAATTATTACAAGGTAAAGTCTCACTGTAATATTCAGGTATGCATGCTTTGAACAAACAAATTTCTGCAATTTTAAGAAGAGTATGCACAAGTCTGTTAAAAACTATCCTGAATTGACCTATCTGCATTAAATTCAAAATTCTTTTTCTGCTTCATTCTGCAAGGAAGTTACCTTTCCCTTTTCCAATAGTAACATTTAAGTACACTTGATAATTTTAGCTTTTAAGTTTCCACAAAGTTAGAAAAAAAACCCCTAGAATAACTCTTACTCATCTTCACTTACCAGCCAGCGTGGTATTTGATTATCAAAATAAAAAGTAGAACGTCAGTTTCATGTAGTGCCTTGAGATTTTTTAAAACTTACAGTAAATAGCTACTCTAGTTAGCAGTTAAGAGCTACCTAGCTTCCTAAGAAGTCTAACCTGAAGACCAAGCTTCAGAAATAAATTATGAATTTGACCTACATTCATTTCTCCTCTATCTTAAAAGGGCAAAATCTCACCGATTTGAGAGTAGGTAAAATAAAGCACGTTTAAAGTAATTTTTTTAAGAATTCTATTGTTCTGTATTACAGGGTACTTAAATACAATGTGACACAACAGCACACATTCATACGCTGTAGCCCTTGACATTTTTAAAGCAAGGTTCAGTGTCATTCATACCTAGTAATTATACATTTGGTTTATATCTTTCCCATGCAAAGCTTTTTTTTTAATACAAAATACAGGATAATAGTTAGAATTTACAAGTACAATCTAGCAGCATGACAGAGGTAAAGACTAACACAGCACACCCCCCAAGAGATAGAAGTGAACTGCATACTGAAAAAAAACCCCAAAATTAACAAGTTAGCTGCAAGTGATGTCAGGATAAAAATCACATTAATGCCAGAATTTCAGTCTAATACATATAAGGACACTGGTGATATAGTGCTGTAAAAAATTTCCTAAATTACAGTCTTGCTCTCAGGTGCCACAACTACTGCAAGTAGAATTGCTAGTGAGAAAGAGGATTGAAGAGGATTGATTTACACAATTGCATTTGCTGTGCTAATATTTTTAGGAGAAAACTACTCTTCTCAGCTTCTACAGCCTCAGTGAAACAGTTCACATCTAGGAAATCTCATTGACTACCAAAAATTCCAACTTAAAGTTTGCCTCAATATACCTGCTACAAATACAAACAGCACAGTAAAAGGGTGCGATGTATTCAAAATCAGTATAGATTGTTATGCTAATTGCACTCTGTGAAAAGAGTTCTCAGGTGGACTCAAGGTCTGTATCACATTCCAAATTTACTAGACAGCACATTACAGCACATGGCAAGACAGCTGAAGATTACTAAACTATTGTTTCAAATGGGAAGCAAAGGAAATATTTTTCCAAAGTAGATTTCTCAGGAATATAAGCAACACAAGTTATGCCTCCTAGCACTTTTCCATTCACAAGAAATAAGTTAACATTTAGTATTTTGAATATATAACATTATACATTAGCTACTGTAAAGTGTTGGAAGGCTCAGACTTAATATAAAGTTTGGGGGTTTCTTAACACATGTAAACTCTGATTCAGTGCTCACCTTTAAAGTACTTCACAGTTTTAACTCTTAGTTCTAAAGTAGCATCTTCATCACACACAAAGATAGTACGAGGGTGTTGCTGGAAAGCAGAAACTGTCCACATATGATTGACTCCTTCTTCAATTGCTTTGTACAAAGCAAAAGCCTTATGTGCGCCTGTTATAAGAATCATCACCTGCAAAACAAAGGTCTCTTTACTTTCAGTCCCAGTATCAGCACCAACTAGTCTTGAAAACAGACACATGCAACTAGAACTAAATGAGTTCTTACTTCTCTAGCATCCATCACTGTACCCACACCAACTGTTAGCGCCATAGTTGGTACTTTAGATAAGTCTCCATCAAAGTATTTAGCATTTGCCAAAATGGTGTCCATTGCTAAAGTCTTTAATCTTGTTCTTGAAGACAAACTCGATCCGGGTTCATTGAATGCAATGTGGCCATCTGGACCAATGCCTTTTCAAAGTTAAAAAAAGTAAATCATTCCAGACCTGCGAGTCAACAAATATCTTCAAACATTGCAAACAAATAAAAGTTTTAGGACTCATTCTTTTCATTTGGTTCCCCATTTTCAGTAAAAAGCATTCAGAACTTACTTGAAATGATGTTATTAGAAAGTTGGACACCAACCATACTGTTTTGATACAGATTCTTAGTTAATCACAGAACTTTTTTTTTACACGATTGAAAAATGGGGGTTAAGCAAGTTGTGAAAATAGTGATTAAAGAGTGATTATATTTGTTTGAATCATAACAAATCACAGAGCATTTCCTCATACCTCCAACAAACAGATCAATCCCCCCTGCTTCTTCAATTTTCTTTTCAAATGCATCGCATTCCGCCTGCAAGTCTGGAGCGTTCCCATCAAGGATATGAGCATTATTTGGATCTATGTCAATATGTTTAAAGAAGTTATTCCACATATAGGAATGGTAGCTCTCTGGATGGTTTCTTGGAAGCCCTGAAATCATTGAGAGTGAAAAGAACACATGACAGGATTTAACCAAACAGCCTGAATTCTAGTCTCTGTGTAACCAATGTAGGGCACGCCAGGCAAAGCCAAGTAACTCAGATAAAGCAGTATTTGAAATTATATCAAGAAGAAAGATTTCCTGTTGGCATGCACAGAGAGCATAAGGTCTTTCTTCAAAAGAAATGCACTCAGTATTATGTGGCAACATGTTTTCTACAGAAGTACTGTGAAGCACTGAATTTAGCCCAGGACCCACCTGTTCAATACATGCATTTGTGTGGATAAAGGAACAGAGGAAAATGCTTAAGATGACCCCGTGGACAGATGCCCAGCACAGGAGTACAAACATACTAGACTGACACTGTCCTTTGACAAAGCATTTAACAGTTTTCATAATGGAAAAAAAAATCAGTATAGAATGATCTCAAATAATTAGCACCTTACCTACATATTCATCCATGTTGAAAGTCTTTACATATTTGAAAGAGAGATCTCCATTCTTGTGATATTCTATCAGCTTTTTGTAACATCCCAAAGGTGTACTCCCTGTGAAATAAAGGTTTTCTGCTGTTCTATGTATTCACACAACATTTTCAGTCTATTTAAATCTTTTCATAGTCAAATTTTTGCTTTTCAACATACTAGAAATCTACTACTTCTCAGCGAGTACTTCTCAGCTTTTCAAACTTTATCTCTGGGTTTTATTTTTTCACAAATCAAATCCATGTTTATACTGAAGTATGTTGGAGTATTGCCAAAAAATATATCTGTGTTCTTTTAAATACGGTATCTGTTGGCAATGATACACAGCTGTAGGTTTAGTCATTTATGTAAGCTTTGAATAAAACTTGCCTGTTGGCAGACCAAGTGTGAAATACCTTCCTTGACTGGGCTTGAACTGGATAATACGGTTACAGATGTATTTCGCTGCCCATTCGCTTGCCTGATCATAATCTTCAAGAATTACTAGCCTCATTATGGCAGTGAGGAACTTGTATGACAAAACAAACCTGGAGAAAATGTCAAAGGTTTAAAAGTGAACAAGAGAACCAGATGGATGGTTGTAAAACTCTCAGATTACAGAAGAGAGAAAAATGACCTTTTATACTGATGACGTACAGCACTAAAGGATATTTTACGTGCATAAGCATACTGCACGATTGCAGTTCTAGTTCAAGCTGGACTCTTGGACAATCAAGAGAAAAGCTACACAATCCATGTGATAGATTACAGTAAAAGTATTTATTAAAATTCACAGACCAATTTAAATTAACTTGTAGGAAAAAAACAAAACAAAACAGAACAATCCACTTTGAACTTCAATCTTTTAATTAGCTGTTACTATTAGAAAAGAGGCATTACTCTCCTTGAAAGAAGAGGAAAGAAGTAAAATTCCTGTCTCTTATGACCAGCTGAATGGCTAAAACTTCAAAGACCAGGCCCAGAATAACCTCATGCTTCTATTTTCAAAACACAAATTGGAAGTAAACAATTAAAACTCCTTTCAGTCACATTCTAGCTCCATAACAATGCTTCAGAAAGCTTAATAATCTGAAAAAAAAAATTAAAAGCATTAGATACTTGAAATACAATTCACAGGAAAAAGTATCTATGAGAGGTCACATTTCTTTCTCTGCAATATAGCTTTAGACAGAAGTGGATCATGCACTATTGACTTTGAATACAACTGCATCATCTATTAAGATGAGTATCTAGAAAACAAGCCTCACTGTTAAAGCCACACAAGCATCTCTTGCATTTAATGAAACTCATTTTTCCACGAGTTTCTGCTAAATAGTCAGGTCACTATCAGAAAAACGGAGGCTCCTTAGCTAGTTTGCGGTGTGTTACTCTTGTCTTGCCAGGTCTGCGTGTCCTTGGCTGTCAGAAGCCTAAGGCCAAGGTACGTGCCAATCCACCACTAGCACATGCTACTCTTAGCTGACCCCGAATGAGAGGCCAGTTTCAGAGGAAATATGAATTAAATGACGGCAGTGCTTCACAGAGTAACATCTGCTCGCTCCCCTAAATAAGGAAGGAAGCGAACTCTACCTTGTGCTGACCATGCCGCCTCCTCTCCCTGCACAGCGGGGCCAGGACAAACCGAACTCACCTTGGCAGCGGGAAATATTCCGCACGGACCGATAAAGTTAACACTCACTTTTCCCCGAGGAGCAGAGAAAAACTGTCCACCAGACAGACACCCCGCAGCTTTAGGGCGGCCTCCCACAGCTTTAACGATTTAAACTGGAGAACACGGTGACGCTCTCCAAGAGAAGCGACCCGCGAGCGGCCCCGGAACAGAACGCCCGGGGATTTTCTGCCGAGGGCGGTTTTTCCGGAAGGCTGGTGAATCTACGCTGTGAG